TAAAATAAAGAAAAAAAACAACGCAGAATTATGTCAACTAAGTCACAGAAAACCAGAAGGCAAAAAAGAGATGGCAAATATATACCACCAGATAGCGAGGATGAAAGCGATTCACCATCTGAAACTTCAAATCGTCCACTAAAAGGGAGATCACGTGTTCCTATCCTGCAAAGCTCAAAGAACCATTCCAATATTAATATATCAAAACGGAAAAAACGTACTTTCCGAAATCCAACAAATAAAAAGAAACATCGACATCACAACACTATTGTTGTTGGTGCTCCAGGAAGCAATGAATCAAAAAAGAAGATTGTTCCCAAAATTGTCGTTAGAAACCCTACTCGTAAAGTTGTTAGAGTATTATCAAAACCAAATAAAATTAGCGAAGGACATTTGGCACCACCAGCTCCAATGCGTAGAATTTCGAAAAAGCAAAAATATCAAATTGGAATAGACAAAAGTACAATTATTGAAGCACAAGATGCACTTTTGGCATCATTTCCATTACCATCTTCTTCAATTCCTTATAAATTTAGCAAAAATATTAGCATTATCGGTGCTATTAATATTCGAGCATTTGGTGCTAAAAAATTTTCTAATCTTGCTATAATGAGAGTTATAATAGACATCCTTCGACGATACGATATTGTTCTTTGCCAAGAAATTCTTGTACCAATTGGTAAAGAAGAAATGATTCAACAACTTGTAGACTTAATATCAACTCCTTCCATTCCATATTCTTTTACGTTGAGTCGTCCTATTGGTAGGAATTCGTATCAAGAAAGGTATCTTTATTTGTATAGAAAGAAAGAATGGAAAGTATTAGAGGACTATGTAATAGATGATGAAAAAATGAGTAATAAATTTATCAGAGAACCTTATGTTGTCAGATTTCAACATTTAAGAAAGCCTAACGTGAAAGTCACCCTTGTTGGTTGCCATACACAACCACAAAATGCATATTATGAAATAAAAGCGTTAGTGGCTGATATATATATTAAAGTGAAAGAAAATTTAGAAAGAAATCATCTAAGGGGTTTCAATAGATTCTACACTCTTTTATGGAGTTATTTATGTTGTTGCCTAAATGACGTATCTTCTAAAGATGGTGAAAATGATGAACCTATAATTTTAATGGGGGATTTTAATGCATCAGGTTCTTATATCAACAAACGAGAGCTTTCAAAACTTGATGGAATATTGCGTAAAAACAATCTGATTTGGGGAATTCAACATTCAAGCGATACCACTTTGGGTGCGAGAGATGCCGCTTATGATCGATTTATATTTGAGAAGGCATGTGTACGAGAATGGATTGGACATTCTCGTGTATGGAGATTTGATGAGGCTTGGATAAATGAAAAAGTGGATCCAATTTTGGTCAAAAGTATAGCAAAACGCGTCACAGACCATTATCCTATTGAATTTGAATTGAGGATTTAGTTGTTTTTTTT